CATGTTGTCACAGACTGGTTCATGTTGTCACAGACTGGTTCATGTTGTCACAGACTGGTTCATGTTGTCATAGACTGGTTCATGTTGTCATAGACAGGTTCATGTTGTCATAGACAGGTTCATGTTGTCATAGACAGGTTCATGTTGTCATAGACAGGTTCATGTTGTCACAGACAGGTTTCATGTTCCTAACCCACACGTCGCAGCAGGTTATGTAAATTACTTGAAGTTTTATAAAGTTTTTTCACCTGCAGCTGATTCTTATCTCGGTCATAAAAATGAGGCTCATCCAGTTGAGACAGAAATTCTTTAAAAAGATTGATCATTTATAAAAACCGACATGTTTAAATTTTATCGTTTGTCTGACAAAACGACACAAAATTATTATTTTACTGATCTGATCTTTGCAGCATCAGGGACTGCTAACATGCTAACAGGGCTAACAGCTAACAGGCTAACACTTTGACATCTTGCACAGAATGTATATCACACACTGTTATTAAACCATCACATAATCAAATATGACCTACTTCTAGAACAAAACTAATCTTTTACAGACTTTTGATACTTTAGTTCATAGTTAGCCTCCTGCTAACATTAGCCTTTAACTGAAACTTTGTTACGTTTGGTCTTTTACTACTTTTAGATTTTAGCTCACACTTTTCTACCGTTTTATTTAGCCACAGTTCTTCTACTTGCCACCATTAACAAGCATTTAGCTCAATTTAGCTAGTGTTTAGCTCCATTGGCCACTGTTCTGCCCTTTCATCAAATGTTCATCTACTTTTATCTAATTACGACTCATTTTAGCTAATTTTTAGCTTATTTTTAGCTAGTGTCAAGCTTCCTTTAGCTAGTTTTTATCTAATTTAGACAATGTTCTGATCCTTTAGCCAGTGTTCTGCTCCTTTAGCTAGAGTTTTGTTTCTTTAGCTAGTGATCTGCTCCTTTAGCTAGTGCTTTGTTTCTTTAGCTAGTGATCTGCTCCTTAAACCAGTGATCTGCTCCTTTAGCCAGTGATCTGCTCCTTTAGCCAGTGATCTGCTCCTTTAGCCAGTGATCTGCTCCTTTAGCCAGTGATTTGTTTCTTTAGCTAGTGATCTGCTCCTTTAGCCAGTGATTTGTTTCTTTAGCTAGTGATCTGCTCCTTTAGCCAGTGATTTGTTTCTTTAGCTAGTGATCTGCTCCTTTAGCCAGTGATTTGTTTCTTTAGCTAGTGATCTGCTCCTTTAGCCAGTGATTTG